GGCGCATCGATTGCGCGGTCATACCGCGCCCGACACAAATGTTCATTAAAACTTTTCAAAATCTTGCGAACTTGTTACACGTGGTGTTAACTCCCCAGGGAGGTGTACACAAAGCGCAGAGCTTAACATGCCGTACAAATTTGAAGATACGTCCGATGTATAGTGAATTGTCACACAGGGATCGGAGAGCGTCGCAGACGGCGCAGCCGAGTCGAAGAACCTCAGACTATCGACACATAGTGCGGATCAGCACACGAGCACATGCTCCAGCTGTCCCTCAAGCGGCAGCGAGCCGCCAACGCCGCCGACGCCCCGCCGCCGAAACAGCCCACGAGAGCGAGGACGTGGTCAGGCACGACATTGTGCCATCGCTGCAGGCTGACCAGCCAGATGTGGCCATGTCGACCTTGCCGTTGCCGCGCGGTGTCGTGGTGAGGTCACGGTGCGGCCCGCGCCATTCCCTGGCCGCGTCGGCAGTACATGCGCGGAGTAGAGGACTGACTTCCAGATGTAATGACATGTGTCACGCTCATGCATGCACACATGCATACAAACATACCTACACGCATACACACACGCATGCACATACATGAATACATACATGCGCGTGTACATACACACATACACATGTACACACTGCATGCAGGTATACAAATACATACGTACATATATACAAACTACATACATACGTACAATCTCACATGTACATGCACACACTGCATACATATATGCATATGAATATTTACGTACATACATACACGCAAACAATATACATACATGCATACGGGAGACGGTCAGTACTGCGCTGCTCTTACGGGGTGAGCCCGCGCCGCTGTGCGACTTCAAACGCACGCCACACTCTCACACTCAAACGTCACACTGGACCCTTCATCTCATCATCTCTTCCCTTCATGCTCGAAGGACGCACATTTGCCATGCACTTGCCTACGTACATCCATACACGCAAACAACATACATGCATACATACGGGAGATGGCCGGTACTGCGCTGCTCTTACGGGGTGTGCCGGCGCCGCTGTGCGACTTCAAACGCACGCCACCGAACAGATCAACAAGCTCAAGTGCGTCAGAAAATGGTTCGGTGCCCGAGCGAATGGTCATTTTACCGCTTCCAGTTCATAGCTTGCGATATGGTTCTTTTTATGTTCCATATCGTTCGTTCCGGCTGTCATTCGAGTTCTTATGCAAGACCTAAACACTACCATGCTTCAGGATCGGGCATGAATACTGTGACGTCATAACAGTGAGTGATTGTCCAGCAGCGAAGTTGACGTCAGCAACGACGCCGTTCACGACGGCACGCTGGGAGATTACAGGGTCGGAGATCGCCGACGACAGAAAGGAAAACAGAAACCATCGGCAGGAAAGGAAACGTCATCGAAGAAGGCGGCAAAACAACGGAACAAGTCGACGGCGGGAAAACATTATCAAGGGGGGTGACACGCAAGACAAGACCGGACAGTCAAGAATAATATGTCGACAGAAAAGTGTGAGTGTATCCGAAATTTGACCTGCCCACACATAAGCGACTGTGTAAACATGTTAGGGGAGAAAACACTAAGTGCACGCGCTTGGCGAGACCTAAAATAACGTGCCTATAACATGATTAAGAACCTTTCTACCAAAGACTGAGTCTGATAGGTTAACGACGACTCTTACATTACGTGCAATGGCTGCACTAGATTAAAGTGGTTTAACCTGGCGTACAAGGAAATCGTCAAGGGTGTCATGATGACGCTTTAGATTGCTGTACATGGTTGACAACCGGACACTTGACCTGGCTCGCGGGAGCAGAATGAAAAACGATGTGCTTCACAACACAGGCTGAACGTTATGCCTAAGTTTTCAAGCGGCAGAGGAGAGTTCTGAGCGACGAAAAGAGCACTGAGCAGCTACCTAAATCCCGAGTGTACAAAGGGTGACGAGCATACAGCTTTACTTCGCTGGCTGACGAATATCAATCGCCGGTGGTCTTCACAGGATGTACGCTGTTCCGGGTGGCTGTAGATAGCTCTTCGAGGGACCGCCCCGACACCTGCACAAGATGCTCTGGTGGAGACTCTCTACATCCTGCTAACTGCTGCGCGGAACTGAAGGCTGCTGCAGACAGGAGCGCGCGATGTCAAAACTGAAAGCCCCCGTTTGCGTGAATCCACAATCGACTGTGTCCCCGCTAGGAAGGAGAAAGGGAAACCAACGACACCGTGCTGGTCGGTTAACCGCCCGGGTCTCTGCTTGGGGCGCCTGGCCGTGTGCAGCGACTTAAGGGGTCAAGGGGCGGCGGCGCTGAACCACAGTCAGGACGGCGAGGGGTCTCACCGGTTGCACTTGGCCGTGTGGGGGGCGTCGTCCGCCCCGTATAGCACCGGGGTAGCCCTGGCGGTGACCACCTCTCGAGGGAGTGTTGGGCCGTCCCCCAGCTGGGCTCCGAGGTGGGTGGGGAGCCCCGGTGCCGAATGCTTGCTAGAAATCGCATGGTTCTCAAAACTCAGCAAATACCCGGCCCCCGAAAGGAGATCGGACAGCGCTGGGGCCCGGGTGCTTGGGGGATTCGGTCCCCCTTGCCCTCGGATTCTGATCTTCTCCAGCGGAGATGTAAAGCTCTCCACCCTGCCACCGTTCCAACGACGCAACGGCTGTGACAAGTTTGGAGACATCACGAGATGTGACGGATGGCAACATCGAGGCAGAGTTCGCCAATGGTCTAGAGGCTAAGCGTGCATTAGACGCAAAGGAGTTAATTTATAGTATTCGTGATGAGAACCGGTAACATAACAAAACCGTGGTTTTCACAGTAGCACTACACACCACAAAAAAGCTCATCTAGAGGCGTCGTAAATCCCCGGTGCCTGGCCGGTCGGCACCCTCCGTGTTGTCGACTCCCCCGGCGCCGCTGTCTCCTGCCGGAGAGGAGGGCTGGACGGTGGCTCGGCGCGGCCGTGGCCCGCGGGCTCCACCGGCCTCCGCATCGGTTTCTTCACCACTTTCGTCCGCCTCCGCTTCGTGTGCTCCGCTGCCTTCGTCACCTCCGACACCATTAGCGAACACATGCGGGCTGGCGATAGGAACGCTGGGACGGCACGAGGCGGACAGGCGCGCCCGCGATGCCAAGCGGGCACGCCTGGCTGAACAAGAACGGGCAAAGGCGGCGAACCGTACGTCTGGGGTGGGCAAGGAGTCCGTCCTCCGCAGCGGTGCTCTATGACCCAGAAGACCACCGCTGGTCCTCAGATGTCTGACAGGGCCCCATCCATGGCTCCTCCCCTCCACCACTTAGGATTGGGCACGCTGGCTCAAAGCGCCCCCCAGCCGGTCCTCCGTCTCCATCTGACGGAGAAAGCCCAAGGATTCGGCCCAGAGTGGAGCACCGCTCTGCGGAATCGAGCCGTAACTCCCAGACCGAGTTGTCCGGTCCAGGGTGCCAGGCCAGGTCACCAGGTATATGTTATTCAGGCCAGGCATATTTTTGTCACCTGCCTGCCGGGAGCGGATAGGGCAACTGCTCCCGCTCCCGTGCGTTGAAACCCAGTCGGTTATATTTCTGCCCCGCAATGTTTGGGAGGTCCCTTTTTCCCAAAACCACAACCATTGTAACTACCTGTAAATTGCAAAAATTCAAATCAAAGAGGCCACATTACTGAGCTCTAGTCACCTATCAGCATGAAATCTTCACCAATCGATGTTCCATAGTCGTTTTCCCTGCTCTTTCTATAGCATAGTGACCTTGTGTCAGGTCAAATGTCACCCAAAACACACAAAAACATCAGCATTGGGTGCCGACAACCCCATTCTCAGAGCTCATGGGACCAAACAACACAAAAGCTTCATGAATTGATGTGCCATAGTCAGTATTATCTTGTTGGCAGGATGAGGTGACCTTGGGTGGGCTCGAAACTTACCAAAACGCCTAAAGCGCTTTCGGTAAGTTTTGGTTTCTGTAATTCAGGTTGATTTAGTTCACTTGGTTTGTGTTTTTCGACTCCCCTACGAAGCTAGTGTTGTCAACAAATTTTAGTACTTTGCCTTCCGGTCTAGTCTCGAAATTATTCGCAACAATAATCAAGAACAAAGGGCCACCACTGACCCCTGTGGAACCCCACTATTTACTAGCTACCACTGATATTGTGTACCATTTAACACTTTTATTTGTTTCCTGTCAAACACCCGGGATACTACATAGCCAAGACTTCCTCCCCCAATGTTTTGCAATTTTAGTCACCATTTTATTCACCAAAGACATTTGGATCCACCTGAAATTTGCTTACCATGCTCCAAGGCTATGGGACAGATCAGCACAAAATCTTTACCAATCGATGCGCCATGGTTGATACTCTATCCTCTTCAGAACGCGATGATCTTGGCCCAGGTCAAATGTCACCAAAAGACGCCCGAAACACGCGAAATTACTTGGTTGACAACCCTATTTTCCGAGCCTTTGACACCGATCGGCACAAAACCTTTGCCAGTCGATGCGTCACTGTCGACACCTGCTGCGCCTGCGCCTTCATATATACAAACGCTTGAAATCGCACGCCGTTTCCCTTCATATCACCTGTGCAGCTAGCCCGCCAGCATAACGCCATACGCTGTCCGGGATCAACCGAAAAAGACCAAACCAGAAATCGGATAAGTGCGTTGCCCGCGCACGTAGTAGCCCTATCCCAGTTCTATCGAATGCATCAGGTCACAATCTTACAGTATGATCATATTTATCATTTCCCGGTCGCTGTAAGCTCTTCGCTGTAAAGAAGCAATTTGAACAAAAAGTGATTTCCTGTTTTTTACATACCCTGACGAAGGTTCTGAGCCTAGGGAACGGTCACGGGATGGAGCAGATGCGATAGGACAAGCCTGTCCTTTTCGGCATCGTCGGATAAATGCCCCTCCCCCCCCCCCCACACACAGCCCTTCAAACACAATCTCACACTCCGCGACGTAATCGTCACAAAGTCTCCGCGGCGCGGGACGCCCGCCGGCCAGTCCGTGTACGGAGGGCGAGCCGGACAGGCTCGACGTGCCACCGGCGGCACTAGCGCCACCCCCGGCGTGTCGGGAGCCCACCAGATGGCGCTCCCGCCCCTTGGCGTCGTGCCGTGGCACGGCGTTTTGACGCTCGTTGCCGTGGTGATCATCGTCCTGTTCGTGTGAGTGGACATAGCTGCGCGCGTCGGGGGAAGCGCGTGCAATTAGCCAGGGGGTGGTATTGTGGAACTACACGGTGAGAAGTCATATGTGTGTGTCGTCTCACGACAGTACATCGTTTGGAAAGGGTCGCCGTCAGTGGATCATAAAACAAAGGTTTTACGACGAGACGATGGGCCCAAAGAACGCTAACTTATAGGCCATGTAGAACGGATTTTATTAGGCAAAATTTTGCGAACATAAAGATCGTTGGAAATGGGCTTAATTTAAACGGGCTGTTCTACATTTGTATGGGGTTTTAAGCTGAAGTTGCCATCTTGAAGATCATTCGGTACAGGTCATAACCCTGCCCTCCTGTAAAGCTAAACCATTTAAGTTTCTAGGCTACACATGTGCGTCCATGACACCATAGTACCATCATTCAAATCCTGCCCTTTCATCGACCATGCAGCGATCAATGCCAAGAAAATATTGCCGAGTCGTTCATATTTGGCGTAGTAACCACGATTTACTGATATAACGGCTTGGTAGTGGTAATGGCCTCTCCATCAATGTTGTGCGAGGTTTGATGACGAAATGAAACGATGAGGCATTAAGGAGCATATTCACTAAACAGAGAAATTGTGTCTAGAGCAGCCGTTCCCGCCAAGTTTACCAATAGTTCTATGTGACCTTATGTTATCGTATTAGACGTTTGCTTCAACATCGCAAAATGCGGAACATTCTTTTGAAAACAAATCGTCAACAAAACGTACGTGATGACGTCCGCCGAAAGTGTCACCGTTATGTTTCAAACACATTATCGTAGCATATGATAAGTGGGGACGTGGAGCAGGGGAAATCAACCGTGATCGCCGTCTGAAATAACCAAAATAACATGTCGATCTCTCGGACCGTGTAACTAACTTAGCTGTTGGTTTATGGATCGTTTTGACTCTCTGGAAAAGGAAGCGTCATATATATTTGGATGAATTGTGCTGCTGTTCAACGATACGGAAGCCCAGAATGGCCCGAAACCGAGTTGGCAGACCATGACAACATATTGAGCTCCTAGCGCAATTGTCATGTTAACTCCACGGGGGTTTCCCATATATTCCACACGGCATTTTGTCATGCAGTCTTTGTTATTCTGAGTAATCCTTCGCTATTGTGGTATCAATATTGTTTGATCTTTTGACGCACAATCCCCTGCATACGATATATTGTCATGCGACTTTTTGCCCACCTGCCTTGCGGTATGCTGCTCGTTGCCATGTCGCATCTGTATTGCTATTCAACGCGCGGCCTTGATTGCATCAAACTTCATTTGAATGTCTCCCTCACCGAGTTTCTAACTATTGTTGCATTCATTTTTCTCTGCCAGATCAACCAGGACCTTGAGCCCCCCCCCCCCCCCCCCTCTGAGCCCTTGACACTACTCTGAGCCCCTCACCCCAATACATGTCAGCAAAACAGGATAGCTGAGCCGACGAAATGCAGCCTAGAATGCATGTTCATCAAATACCTAAACGCATCGCTATCAATATTGCCATCACCCTATATCACATCAGATGCTGATGGGAAATCACCCTAAACTTCAAAAATGTTTTAATTACGACCAAAGATATGTTCCAAGTCTCAGTTTGCCATCAGCAGCGCAAATCAAAGTGGCTGAAATCCGGGGAATGATCAGGATTTGGGGCGAGGTTGGGGCAAATTTATTTGCTCAGCCCAACAACCGATTCAAACGATTGTAGAAAGCAATACCCCTGGGTCAGCCTTCATAGAAAGCAAAATAAATGAAATGAAAAGCTGTTCTATCGTGCAGGAAATTGCATGCCACCATCCCCATCCCCGGGGGGTTCACAACCTCAGAAGCGATATGCGAGCAACAGCGCACATTTTAAGACTACGCCACAGAGTTCCGTGTTAGAGTTTCATTTTTGCTGGTCGTGGTTTCTTAAATCTTAACCCTGTGCATGCATAAAATGCACAGGTGAATGAAGCTCGAACATTTTTCTTTCAATTTGCAGGTCCAAGTGTGCGTCAAAGCACTCCTCTTCGAGATATTAGGTAAAACGTAGACAAATGCACGCGCTGCGATGCCTAGGTGCGGATAAAATCCCGTCTCCGCCAACTTTTTTCAACTAGGTCGAGATAAAAAAAACAGAGTAAGCATAGTCACTGACTGGCAAATTAAAATACTAAACATTGCCATTTGATGTATATGTGTGTGTATATGTACATATATATATATATATATATATATATATATATATATATATATATATATATACAACGTCATAGCATATAAAGGCAAAATCCCGGAAATCAGTTAATTTAGAACGGTCTCAAAACAAATTGCAACCTTTATTTGCATGCATGTATACATTTATGCATTTATACAAGCATGCATATATATATATATATATATATATATATATATATATATATATATATATATATATATATATATAATATATAGGAGGGCGAAGCGCTGTCAGGCTAAGTCTGTAGCGAGCAACGTAGATATATGGTATGCCTCTTATATCTATAAATGAACTTTGCAGGTGATATATGGTCAACCGGGCTGCTCGCAATAACCGTGTGGCGGATGTAGCGTGGCTGCATTGTGCTTGAGACTTGAATACGGCTGACGTGACCCGGGGCGGCGGGGGCCGACCAGAGACGACCGTCCGCCCCAATGGACCGGCGCGGCCAAAGGCAGGCCCGAACCATGGGCCAGGTACAGAAGGTGTGGCGCTGGCGGCCACTGCCGAGCAGGACCGGCGTTGTCGTCTCAAGGCCGGCGGTGATGACCCGGTGACCTTGCCGCCGCCTGTGTACCAAGGCATATTTCATGGCAACTACATGTTTGGAATCCTGAAATTACCAGATGCCTCCAGACATGTAATATTTAGAGCCTCCGGAGGCCTGTCATAGGTGGATCTTTGGGGGCGGGGGGGGGGGGGCACGGGGCCATGGCCCCCCAAAAAAATCTTTCCCAGAACTTTACAAAAGCTTCGTCTACTTATCGTCTGTTGTAACTTTGATGGTGTGGTATCAAACGTTTCTTTCCGTGTCGGAAAAGCAACTTCGTGAAGAAAAGTTGGCAGCGATTTCAATATCAAAACAAAACGCATGTTGACGTGGCTTAGTCATCTCAGCGCAAACACCGTGTTTGATAAGTGCACTGGACCTCGGATCCCACACCAGCCAGCTGGCGACGAACGGTTGCCCCGCACCCAAAAAAGAACAACTCCAGGCTAGACCCGCCTCTAAAGCCTTTAGGACAAGAAAGTCAATTATATAACTAGTCAGTTATATCTGACGCTCGTTGACAGGATTTCCAGATAAGATGGACGCCACTTGGCTCCCAACCAATATCGTGCAAATTGTGGAAGTCCCAATCACGCATCACGTTTTGTGTTACATTATACAAGAAGCTGGCCATCCTTACTAGTTGTTACAGGAATATGACTTGTAATCAAGTAGCTTAAGAGTAGCACCATAAACGGTTATTTGGACACAAGTAAGCAGCTTAAGCTTATCGACAAATATGCAAGAAAACGACGAGAATAACCAAACCACGAGTATCTAACGATACTTGGTTCAACAAATACCTCCGGCACCGCTGCGGCCACCTGTTGGGAGATTGGAGAACTTCAGGGGAACACCAGGGTGTCGATTTCGCATGGTCAGTTTGACAGCAACTCTGACGTCTCACAGACATTCCATGACGCACTCAAACAGTGACGCATTGGGGACCATATTTAGTAATAGAGTAATTGTAATATCTAGAGCAATGTCGTCAGCTTAAAGGCATAACAATAATCATTAGTAAGCTTGATTCATGATATGGGATGCTTGCTTCAGTATTTTATAATGTGAAGCATTCCTTTTAAAGGCGAACGGATATCTGTGACAGGTACAATACAAGCCCCAACACACTTAAACGACAAGCAAGACAAGAAAACCTCAAGGGTAAAAACTCCGTTGAGTTTTTACAGGTCATTGGCTTTTCCAACGTCAAACAATTTGTATGACCTTGGGTGACAATTTTGTTTGTTCTTATAGATGTTAACATGCCAATTTCCGGCGATGGATATGAAAAAGGAACGTCTTTATGCTTACTTGGCCGTAAAGAGATACATTTTACCTAAACTGTCGTTTTATTTCCTGACACACCTACGAATGGAAGACCGAACCCACAAAGTTTTTGTTAAACCTCCTGCAATGAATGTGGTTCATATTGTGTTTAAGGTTTAAGGTTTAAGGATAGCAATTTACTTTTGGTGTCATGCCGTTGCCTGGAGGGACAGATAGCGAGAAAATGCTTTCCCCTTTTCTTCTGTTTAGGATTTGGTAGAAACGCTCAGGGGACATCCACAAATAAAGTATTTGGTAATTTAAAGTATTTGGTAATAAAGTATTTGGTAATTTTAAGTATTTGGTAATAAAGTATTTGGTAATTTAAAGTATTTGGTAATAAAGTATTTGGTAATTTAAAGTATTTGGTAATAAAGTATTTGGTAATTTACAAGCTCCCATCCTCTTCCATCTTTTTTACACGCATAGTCATGGTTACTCGATGCTCTTATATTCATTACATTCGTTACGCTTCCATTCGCCTCCTCTTCAATGTCAAGCGTAATTTATGGACGGCGTTCTGAGGCTTCCTAAGGCATCAATACAGATCTTGTCAATGCCCAAGTCACATTGCACGTAATAGACTGTGGGACTGGACCATTCCGTGAGTTTTCAATCATCTAATTGCCATTCACCCCAATTCCTTTTTGGTTTATTGATATTGGGCTAATACACATTTCGGATGCCTGTTTTTTTAAGCTATCTTGCCTTTCAACAATCTGTCCGTCGTGTCATTTCAACATCAACAACAACAACAAACAAAAAACAACAAAACAACATCAACATCAACAACCAGCAATCAAAGACATGTCATTACGCTATTCGCATGTTACCTGTTTGGCTTTTTAACATTGCAGTAAAAGGAATTGGAATATTCACATTTGACGGAATAGCGTCGGTTGATCGCTTGATGGACTCGCGCACGGTCGTTTGTTTCAAGCGATGAGATGCATTTTGGCTATGTATCGCTTCTGCGTGTACTAAATATCTTCTGCGGGTTTGCAGACGACGGCTCTACAAGTTCCAGACGCTGCAGAGACTAGGATACAATATACCACCATACAGCTTGCTTTATGGGCACGCCGGCAAGCTGAAGGGCACCGCCGGTCCGGCGGAGTTCCAGCGTCTGTTCGACGCTTACGGGGTCCAGCATGGAACGCGAGGCAAGACGGTGGCGCTGTACGTCGGCACGAAACCCACGCTGTGCACCACGGACCCAGACCTGGTGCGCGAGGTGTTCGTTCAGCGGGTGGACACGTTTCCTGACCGGCAGGACAACAAGAGCCCTGTGCTGACCATTCCGGACCATAACCTGCTGACGCTGAGGGGCAAGCGCTGGAAATACGTCCGCCGCGTCCTGAACCCGGCCTTCACCACCAACAAGCTGAAGGGCATGTCGCCGGCTATGAACGTGTCCATTCAGACGTTCCTGGACGTGCTAGAGGGCAACAGGCTCCAGGGCCAGCCGACCAACGTATACGCCGCCTTCCGCAGCCTCACCCTGGAGGTGATTGGTAAGTGCGCGCTGGCCATGGAGGTGCACTGCCAGACGGACCAGCGCGACCCGCTCCTTGTTATGATGAAGACGCTGCTTGGGTCCGCTCCGCTAATGGGTGTGCTGCGCGGTCTGCAGCCGCTGACGCGTCTGGTGCTGCCCCCTGCTGCGCGCCTTCGGGCCGGCCTCGCGCGCGTACCAAGTGGACCAGCAGCTGCAGCGCTGGCTTCGCGGAGTCATCCAGCATCGCCAACGGAGTGGTGCGACGGTCACGGACGCCCTGCAGCTGCTGCTGGAGGCGCAGCGCGCCGACAGTGGCAGCGAAGCCGTCACTGACCAAGAGTTACTCTCCAACGCGTTCGTGTTCATCGGGGCCGGCTATGAGACAACAAGTACAGCGCTAGCTTTCACGTCATACCTTCTGGCGCGCCACCCGACCGTACAGAGCCGCCTGTACGACGAGATCGTGGCTAGCGTACCGGCCAGCGGTGACCTCGACTACGAAACCGTGCTCGGCCTGCCGTACCTGGAGATGGTGATTCAGGAATCACTGCGTCTCTACCCGCCGATCCCAGCGCTGTACGGCCGACAGGCTAGCTTCGCGACGGAGGTTCAGGGGATGCGCGTGCCGCCCGGCGCCTTCGTGGCCGTGGTACCGATCTGCATGCATCACGACCCTGACCTGTGGCCCGACCCGGAGCGCTTCGACCCGGAGCGGTTCAGCGCCGAAAACAAGCCGCACATCGTGCCCTGCAGCCACATGCCGTTCGGCGCCGGGCCGCGCCACTGCATCGGCATGCGGTTCGCCATGATGGAGATCAAGCTGGCGCTGTGTCACACGCTGCGTCGGTACCGGCTGCTGCCGACCAGCGAGCCGCTGGAGCTAGCCATCGTTCCGCCGTCTCTCGCACCCGCCTCGGGCCAAATCAACCTGCGGGTGGAGCTGAGGCAGCCTCGGGGAGACGGGGTGACGGACAAAGTGTAGAGGGAGTAAGGGAGTGTAGAGGGGGCACTAAAGGGAGTGTACAGGGATCTATGAAGGGAAGGGGAAGGGACGACGGGACAGGGATTGCGTGAAAAAAGAAAGATTGATGAGGGAGGAGTGTTATAAGAAGAACGTTTTAGAATTGAGGAAGAGGTGAAAGATCCAGGATGGAGGGGAGAGACGGATGTATGGGGTATGTATGCATGTATGTATGGGGTGTATGATGAGATGGGAACGGTTGAGGAAAGCTGGAATAAAGTAAACGAGCTCAAAGAAGCTGAACAGGACCAGATGAAAGAGTAAAATATACCAGCACGTGGAAAGAAAGGAGTAATAAATGAGGCCAAACTGGAGGAAAGTGATAAGTGGGACGGGGCAAGGGTTAGCAAGATGAGAACGAAGGGAGGAAGACGTGGGTGGGATGATGAAAGAGGGCGAAATGGATGGCGGTGTGTTATGTAGGGAATGGGCTGGGGAGGAGAAAGTGGTGATGAGCGGACGGAAATATGGCTAAGGGGTCGGGATAAAAGGGAGGGGAGGAAAGTGGAAGGCAATGAAGGTAGGTGAAGGATGATGGCATATGAGGTAGAAAGTAGGACGTGCAGAGTGATCCTGAGAGCGAGAGGAAGCACTATTTTCATAAACACACCCGACGTAAGGTCAGATTTTACTTTGGTTTCCTGAGGTCTGTGAGGATAGAGGCATAAATAGAGTACACCAAATAAGGTATGCAATTTCTGACGTTTTAACACTTACAGATGTGCCATGAATACCGGCGCTGGTCCACTGATGTGGCCCCAGAACTCTGCGCCGCGTGACGAGCACGAGGGAGAGCAGCGCCTCTGCGACTGTCGCTGCTTTTGCGAAGTGACAGGGGTACACGTGAAACCAGTGTCATTTGGTCCCGATTAACGTTGCCTAAATGCAATGGGAACCTGACTGTAGACATGTTGGTGATTACGACAGCCATACCGAGTACCTATATCAGGCCTCGCTTACCATCCAGGTGTATTGTATCAAGTCTCTCGGCGTCAGGTACCATCATCAAAATAATAAAAAAGCATTCAATCAATATTTAACAGACAGTTCTCGGGCTGTCTTAACTTTGCATTATGCAATGGCACAGGAAGTGTTTGTAACTCAAAAATGTTACCAATTAACTTCTTTTTTTTTTTACCCACACCACTTCTCGTATCGTTGAGAAAAAAACTACAGCGATGAGCACTGTACGATGGATAGATCACTTATGCCACCCCTAAATCCTGGAGGGCCTGTGGAGCGAGTTGCCTGCCAACTGCGTCCACGCCCACGTCTCACCATTCGCAAACGTCACCGATCGGACCACACCCAGCTTTCACCGCCCGCTCACATGCTGTGCCGTGGGAAAGTACAACCGTAAAGGCTCATGTTCTCTGAGAACTCTGTTTAGTTTGGTTCGCTTCTGGTGGAGACGGGACATTGCGCGCTGATGTTGAGCGGCAGCGGCGAATCAAGGGACTTGACGTTGAGAACACATTGGTTCTCCATTCAAAGCAGACGCCGGCATCGCGGGCTGCATCTCGAGATCGAGTTCAACGTTTGTAGCACCGAGAGGCATGTATGTAACAGCGAAGTACGAACGCTCTTGAAATAAGTTACATATAAACGTATGATACAAACTGTGGCATGTTTTACCAAAGGAAAACTTCCGTGTGTCCATCTTTTACCCTTCTCCATATTTATTTCAAGTTTTCCGCCAAATAAAAGGATCGCTCTAAGTGAAGATATTATCTCGCGAAGTTGCGTTTGCACAACCTTAACTCCAAAATTTTAATCGAGAAATGGGCTCATATCGACCCTGCACTCGCTGCTTCATTCAGCGCCGCTTGCAACACCAACATGGCAGTGTGACATTCTCACAATACGGAGCTTGTCTCGTGTTATCAAGCCTCATTGATGAGTTTTGATAGACCCGGCATACGTTCCTATTGTTATGGGTTAAATGTCGAGCCCAAACTTGCCAGCAGACATGGGGAGAAATAGAGTGTGTCTTTGCCCCTCAAGGCTTTTGGGAGACCCCATTTGTACAAACTGATGGCTTTGTAGCAGTAACGTGTTGTTAAAGTTCAGGTTAAGGAGGTTATCATACTTGAGCTTGTCAAAGCAGTCAGGGCACTGATCCGGCTCAGAAGATTCTTTTCTGCGCCGGGAATCCCACTTTACCTGAACAGAAAGTCATTGTTTTCATTAAAGTAGCCCGTGTTTTCCGTTAACTCTACCTCCAAGAGCCCGTTTGACCGTGAGCTCTCGTGACAGGCAGACATGACTAATGACAGACGTAGACTCGGTGCCCCATCGACGTCTGGCACCACTTGTTTGGACTTCCATATCATCTGCGCGATAGTAATGCTCATATCCGCCGTCATATCTTCCTCACCACGGCGAATACAGGTCACACGTATGCTGTTTCGAACGTTTGAAGTGGGCGGAACTGGAGCGAGAGCGGGATAAGACGAACGCTCCTACGTTTGACTTTAGCCTCTCCACCAGAGTGCTTTTGGCAGGGAGTGATTTGTTGGCATGCACTGATAACTCTAATGTCCTTGGTCTTATATTAGGACGACGAAGCCTACAGTGCAGTGTAAGCGCGCATTCAACAAAACACGCGTGCGCGTGCTAAAGATTCATCCCTATTGTGAGCATCATGAATCTAGCCAGGCTTACATTGTACAAAGGTAGCAGACATTTAAGCACACACAACAAAAACGGTAACGGTCACGATATATGCAAAAAACGGTAACGGTCACGATATATGTAAAAATAACACGAGCACCGACCGGACTCTAACATCAGTCTGCCGCAGCAGAGCGAGAGGTGGCGCACCTCCGCCCGACACTAACAGCGCTAGACCTGGTCGTGACGAACCTGACCGGCCCGCCAGAAGACGTCGCTGTGCTCCAGGGCTCAGTCAGTGACCGCTCGTCGGCACTTCTTCCTCCGTGCTGTGATGTCCAGACGGTGCCCTCCGCCACCGGTGTTGGTCACGAGGAGGCGCTGGGACTTCGCTGGCATTCGAACCAGAGTGTTCTGGTTTCGAGTACGGTGCTCTTCCAACTGAGCTGACCGGAAAGGCAATGTCTCGATGTTCAAACTTGATGTCATTCATCGACATGTTCTAGGATTTTTCCGAGAAAAAATAGGTGTTCTATTGGGCTGACGCTCACGCTTAGCTTACGGATGGGGTTGTCAGCCAGCGTCTTCCCAATCTTCTTAGCTTTCCAGTGTTACTCTCTGTCTATGATGGTTATCTGATGCTATGAGGACCGGTGATCACTGTCTGACCATGCATACTCTGCCACACCAAACTTTGGAGTTTCACCCCTTCTGTGTTCTTCCAGTCCGACCAAGAAAGATGGGCTGGTAAAAACACGCACCATAGTAATAAGACTATTGCATAAGAACACTTACGGTCAACTACGCATCAATTATTATATTTTAATGAGCGCTTGTGTGCAGGTTGACATCTACCATGCTTCGATGTCCAAAATATCGTCGTTGGAATGCAGTCGATCAAACGTGTTTTAATTGCACTAGTACTAATATTAATGCAATATTGTGATTTCTGCACAAGTGTCCTGTGGTCAGAAGCGTCAAATGAGCTGGTGTCCTCGATTCATACTCCACTCACCTCGCTCAACTCAGCCCCCGGAGGCCGGATCAGTGAAGAATGATGCAACCCATCCCTAAAAAACGCCAGCAAACACAGTGTGTGCCACAGTGTGACAGACACAGGGACCGGTTGTCTGCGGAATGTGTCCCTGCTTTTTGCCGGCGCCTTGAAGCGGACAGACCACGGTATTTTCCATCAGCGCCCTCTATCTGCTGATCGGTCGAGACCCACGCTGTGAAATGACAGATTTCTCGCTTTTTTTCGCACGCATTGGCGTTATCGTTATCTTTGCCCACTCTCAGCGTAAGCGCACCGTTGATAGCGCTGTTGCTAGCTGAACGCACCTAAATCATTCCTTTTAGCGAAATGACACACAACTGACGCATTTTAGCATTGGATCATTACCAGAGGCACAACAATATGTTTCATATGGATGAGGGTGTGTGTGTGTGTGGGGGGGGGGGGGGCTGATCAGTAGGTTACATTTTTAAACCATTCTTTGATGCTTCAGATGTTGTTTTCTTTAGATAGTGTACGGCAAACACTGGGGCCTTCAGGCTCAGCGCGTGGGAAGTGAGTTAGTCAAGTTTTATCCTAGGGGAGTTTGGCCTCTGTGTGTTAGTTACCCTCATCGTGACACTTATTTCATGACATCAACATTTAGTAGACAATTCTAGGGCTGTCTGAATTGCATTACGTCATGGCACAGGAACTACTTGTAACTCCAAAATGCTACCGATTAATGGTGTCGTTTTTCACCCAGACAATCTCTCATTCTGTTGGAATGCAACGTATGAACAAGCTACTGTAACCATCAGCATCGCAAGATCGGTGGATCACTTACACGGCACCATAAATCATGTTGGTACCTATAAAGTGAGTTGACTCTGCTTGCCAACTAGAACTCTCATCCTGCTCTCATTTCTAACATTCACGAAATGTGATACCTTGCCCTGCACACCTCAATCTTTGGAATGTATCTGCCAAACGGAAAATATCAAAGAAAATCCATGAAAGACTGTAAATCACGCCTCAAGGTTTGCCTTGAGGTATGGAGCGAGCATTTTTTATTTAAGATTTGATTTGATTGATTAAGATTTGGATCAATTTTGTTCGTTTTAATTGAATTTGATTCAATTTTCATTTGATTTCTGATTTTATGAAGCCAAGAAAGCTCCCTTCATCATCAATGAGAATGCTCCAAATTTGAAAGTACTAGAGCAAGCATCGGATATAATGAAATAAGTTTACTTGTAACTGTTGGTGTACTGTTAAGTGGAAAAGATTGCCCTGGACAACAAAATTTTTATATCTAGTAGGTATGCTTCTCTTTACGCCATTGACTGATTCCGTCATAGTACCTTGCACAACATTGATTTGGGGCAAATTGACGAATATTGTGTCTGGAAATGGCGCTAACGTACGAAAGATATGGACGACTCGACAATTGTATATTGCTCGGTCTGAATCGCCGCATGACGAATAGAATGGTAGAATTTGTGAGGGTTTTATAACGTCATGGATGCCTGAGTGGCATTGAAAAAGTCTTCACAAAATAGTCTGTTCATCTTCACGGGTATGTAGGTCAGAAATTAGGGAGGTTTGGGTATTAAGAAAGCCATGGCTGTGAACTGCAACGACTGATCTTCAAAAAGACTATTTCATTTCAAAACCCC